GTGTAAGTTAGGATACCTGGATATAAAAAAAAAAAAGTTATAAAACGGTCAAGATTTTTGATTGTATAATTCCCTGCTGTAACCAGAATAATTATTAACCAATGAATGCTTTACACTTCCTTAACTATATATCATCTGATACGCGGGTGATTCTGATTGGCTTATGAAATTGAAATACAGAGCAGACGTGTACTTTTGGGTACTGTGAACTTAGGGTTCCCAGTTACGTTGAAATTCTTCAAATCAACCCCGAAAGAATGGGAACTCAAAATATGTTTACTTAATTGGTCTATGTGATCCCAACAAATTCACACGTATGGTACACTCTAACTGAGATCAGTGTATGGTATTTATATCTCTCTATGAAATTTTTTTTACTCGTGCGGTCAAGTATAAGTTACTCTCACTACATATATTTGTTTCGTTGCATTTCTTGATCAAAGTTCAATCAGAACAAGGGTGTCAGCATATATTTCTGTGTAAATTTCTATAAAGTCTTGCATTTCTCGATCCAAATTCAATAAAACTAAGTTACTCCCCACTCTCATTCTCTCAATACCCATATGTTTCACTTATTGTATTTCCTGATTCGGATTCTACGTGTGATTCTTCAGTTTATCATGACAGTGAAGGGTGGCACAAGCCCAGCACGTGCTGTGTGCAAGTATCAGAGAAGAAAGTGCTCCTCAGATTGCCCTCTTGCACCTTATTTTCCTGCAAATCAACCAAAAACGTTTCAAAACATTCACCGACTTTTTGGGGCGTCCAACATTACGAACATGCTCGGGAACTTGGAGACGAATGACCAGAAGGAGGATGCCATGAAATCTATTATATACGAGTCTGATATGCGTGAGAGGTTTCCTGTTTATGGTTGTTCTGTTATTATAAGCCAATTGCGTTTGCAGTTGCAACATGCGCTTGAAGAACTATGGTATATTTACGCACAGCTCGAGACTTATAGGCAACAGTTCAACAAGCAATCCACTCCATACTACACGTCTTCACCACAGATAGAGTTCGGTATGTATTCAAATAATGATGTATCTCAGACATTTCTGTAATACCCCAGACTAAGAAAGT